TCAGTTTTCTCACTCCATTTGGTGCTTGGCTGAGTTCTTTATCTCTTCATTTGATGTTTTGGGGTTTCGGGATTGTTGTATTCTCTGTATGGCTTAGTTTTTCGGATCTTTGCTGTGGAGGGACGGCGTGGTGCTTCTGCCTAGAGCGCCATTTTGCCGTAACTCCTCAGAAGATAGAAATTTTTTTAGCTCAAACTGGAAGTTTCCATTTTTGCCATTTGTGGGCCCCCAAAGAAGACTTAGTATTTTCATAATATTTTAGGGAGACAAACTAGTATTTTACAGCTAGATAAACCTAGTTTATCAACCAAACAAACTCAAGCAACCAAAGAAGATACAGATAAATTGAACTTCATCCAAATTAAAAAACAGTGGTACATCAAAGGATGCTATCAACAAAGTGTGAAGACAACCCACAGAATGGGAGAAAATATTTGCAAATCTCGTACCTGATAAAAGTTTCATATTAGGAACATATAAAGAACTCTTATAACTTAATGACATAAAGACAACCTAATTAAGAAATGGGCAAAGAACTTGAATAGACATTTCTCCAAAGAAGATATACAAATGGACAATAAGCACGTGAAAAGATGTTCAACATCGTTAGTTATTAGGGAAATGAAAATCAAAACCACAATGAAATAGCACTTTACACTCACTAGGATGGCTGTTTAAAGACAGACAAACAAAAGCGTGGAAAACAACTCATCTGGGCAAGTAAGTGGGGAAATTGAAACCTTTATTTCAGGTGGGAATGTAAAATAGTGTAGCTGCTGTAGAAAACAGTTTATCATTTTGTTTGTTGACTTTATTAATACGGTGTATTATATTGATCGATTTTTATATATTGAACCACCTTTGCCTTTCTGGGATAAATCTCACTTGGGTATGGTGTATAATTCTTTTAATATGCTGCTGGATTCAGTTTGCAAATATTTTGTTGAAATTTTTGCATCTGTATTTATAAGAGACATTGGTCTGTAATTTTCTTTTCTTATGGTATCTTTAGCTTTGCTATGAAAGTAATACTGACTTCATAGAATGAGTTAGAAAGTGTTTCCTCCTCTTCTATGTAAATGGATATTGTTTTAAGTTGCCAAGTTTGTGGTAATTTGTTTTGCAGCAATAGAAAACTAATACAGCTGTTGACAAAAAACAACCAGAAAGTATGTGCCTCATGTTGGAAGAACAGACCACTACCTGTGAAGCAATCTTGCAAAAAAAAGAAAGACAGAAAGAAAAACAACCCAAAACTTGAGTCTGATCAAGCCTCTAGTTTAGATCCATCTACCAGTTTACAGTTAATAAGAAGCACGTTAAACTATGGCAAGGGGATACAATCAGCAAAATCCAGATGCTATCAGAAAGATTTCAGGCAGGAAAACATAAATCACACTCATAATTTAATTTATAACATAATTTAATCTAAGGAGTTCGTTAAACAGGTGTTGAGGAACTGAAAAAGCAGAAAGAGGATAATGAGGTAACATGGAGATGGTAACTGCAAGAAGCAACTGTCACGCCTGGGGCCGAGGGAAGGAAGAAGCAACTGTCACGCCTGGGGCCGAGGGAAGGAAGAAGCAACTGTCACGCCTGGGGC